GAACATTTCTTCGACAAAATTTGTTAGCTTTTGGAATGCTTTTTCTATTTATAACAATTATTCCAATAATGCTTGCCACTAGTTCAGCTCCATCAGCTTTAATAAGTATTATTCCAGGTGGTGGGTGTCGTTTTGGAACATTTCTTGCTGGAATGGTTTTTTCATTAATTGCCGGATTTATTTTCTTTGAAAGTGTTTATTGGTTTATACCAAATCAAAAAATGTCATTTAAAGTCACATGGTGTGGAGCGTTAGTTGCTGCTTGTACACTTGAAATATTTCTAATTTTATTTCCATTATATGTACGACGATTTATGGGAAATTATGCTGGTAAATTATTCATAAAGAATTTATTTGAAATAAATATATTTTTTTGTTTTCTTTTTAATAGGACAAATTGGTTTTGCAGTTATTCTTCTTCTATTCTTTTTTTATTTTGCTACAATTCTTATTTTGGGTGCACAAATTAATGCTTTCTTTTTTGAACATTATAAACCATTAGTTGATGGATTGGGTACATATATAAGTCAAATGCATCAAGAACACGGTGTTGGAGATCCAAGTAGACCTTTGTCTGAAGATGAAACTGATATACGGACTGGTCAACCACCGCATAGAAATGCATTGTTAGAGAAATTATGGCCATCGAAAACTGCTTCATCAGCAGAACACGGAGAACTCTAGCTTGACAATTTATTTTTATTTTTGTTGTTCGTGTGTACAAAAATTTTGCTTATTCACACATTTATATAAAATTGTAAAAATAGATAGCCACTAATACATAATATGTTATTAAAGCAATTTATTAATTATCAAAAAGAACTGATATAACAAAATAATTTATTATTATTTTAAAACTTATTTATCAATTTGGTTTTTTTTACTTGTTTTAGCATTATATGCTAATTTGACAACATTCATTAAAAATCATGCAGGATAAAATTCAGATAATTTAAACCATTGAAAATAGATTTGATTGACTATTTCATAATCTTTTTCAATATTTATTAACACAATAACACAATGAACTACTTGATCAATTAATGATTCAGTAGCATTTAATACGATTTATTAGTATCTTAAGATTTGATGTAAATTTCTCGAGTAAGATATAACATATACTTTATTTTGAGTAAATTTATTAAATGATTCTACAGATCCAGAACCATTTTGTACAAAAAAATCGTTTGAGACACAAATAGTCTTTGCATAAATTCATTTGTCAAAATATATACTACTTTTTTTCCACAAAATAATCTTTGATTTGAACGATTGATTTAGAATTAACAAGACCAACAGGACAAAAAAAAACAACAATAACTAATAGCATAAATATCATCGTAGTATTAAGAAAGAATAGTTTCACACTGATAAACGGAAATTAATTTGATTTTCTTTGTTGAATCGATAAGAGAAATCATTCTATATAGACATCTTGTTTTTATCAAGTCTTCTGTAAAAAATTTTTTTTACATTCATTACTGTTATTTCTCTTTAGTTGATTTTGTTTTAAAATGGAAAAAAAACGAAGAGTTCTATTCATACAAGTTTTCTTTGATTGTTATCAATCAGATTTCTATACGAATAAATATTTTACATCAGTTTACAACGATATTTATTAAACGTAAAATAATTCTCTTTCAATGATGAATGAAGAAGTTACATACTCAGTAAATCTTTCTCATACTTCCCTGGCAATGCCTGAGAATAATATTAATGGTAAATTGATGAAAAGATATTATAGTATGACAACAGTTTAACATTTTGTTCTTGGACAATTAGAAAGAAACTTCGGAGAATCGTGTTCCAGTCGATTTTAAATCATAGGAAATGGTTAAAAAGATTCCTCAATGTTATGGTAGTACGAAGTGCAAAAAGAACTGACCNTCAAAATATTAGCTCAAAACATTGGAGTTACCGAAGTGATCTACTCTCATCATAGTTGTACCGAGACAGCAGCTTGGATCTTCTGGATATCAAGTACTACTTAGGAATATTTTTCGGCCAAACCTATTTTCTATCGATGATCAATCTAACTAGAAGAAAAAACTTGAGAAAAAAACTTTTTTCAAAATAGTGGTTGGTTTTCCATGGATTCACCCATTAGTATTGCCATTGTCTCGCAGGCTAGGTTAACTGAGCCAATAATTTCGATTACGCGGTTTCAGACAAAATTTCAATCAGGTTTAATAACTTTTGAGATATTGACATGACTCTCATGATTAAATCAATCGCAATCAAACAGACTCACTTTGTAATGGAGAACAGGTAACAGTGAATAAATCCAGTATTAAAAATTCATTCGTTCAATCTAAATTCGATATAGGTATTCTCGTTGTATTTGGAATTGAGCATCTTCAATTTGGCATCTCGATTGACAACAAGCAAAAATCAAATCTATAGAAAAAAAAATGAAGAATGAGAAGAGCTTTTATATAGCTACCCACTTTTGGACTATTACTATTTCAATCATCGAACACAATGTTTGTATCGTTGAGAAGACACTACGGTTGAGTTGAACTGCTTGAAGAATACACAGAGTACAGTCAAAAAAACAAAAAATATCAAACAACATGTGTATTACTCATATAAGGAACGATTTCATGCAAAATACAAGTCTAGAAGTGTCCATTTATATTTATTTTCAAATTAGTTTATGCTTGAATTAAATTATCACTAATTTAAATTTAAAATAAATTTAAGTTATCGTAAGTTAAATTTGTTTTGAATTTAAATTAGCCTATTTCTTCACTACAACTTATGAAACGAATATATATATCAAAATTTTAACAGCATTTTTTTCCATAAATCATATGTAATAAATTGTCTTGATGCAACCAAGATATGGTAACTTGCTGTAATATCTCACCCTTCATTAACAAGAATTTTTTATTGAAGAAGAAAAATCATGCTTATGCAACAGACAACCACTTCAGATTCTCATTTTACAGCTTTTAAAGCTTTTTCGACGAAGACACATTTCAGGAACCCATAAGCTACTTTCTTGGCTAATGTGACAAGAGGTTGAGGATGAGAACATATCCATTTCGTATATCGAAAAACGATGGAATATATAAGAAGCCATTTTTGTTGTTTGGATTATTAAAACTCAATCTAGTTAAATCACATTTATAGGATAAGAAATCATGCTTCTCTCATTCTTTAATGCCGAATTCGAGATATTTTGAATGAATCATTGGTGTAAACTGAGTTAACTAATATCATATATACTAAATGGGCAACTGACCAAAACACATACCATTCCAGCAATGTGAGCGTCCGTTTAAAAAAACAAAAACGATTAAAATGTGCTCAAACATTCTTCTGATAGGCCCTTGTTCATGCTACATTTTAATACTAGAACCATTTATTTGAAATACGATTTTCATCTTCATAGGTCGAAACAATTTTTTCTGGGCGTGTATTTTGATCTTGTATTATGCATACACATTATGTTTATCGTTCGATCATTGTATTAATGAAAATTCGATTCAACTTTGTTCAATTTATGTTCGAGAGGGCTCCGAAAGTGCTACAAATCCAGAGACGTCGTATGACCTAAAAAGATTGACTCCTAATTGAAATCCTAAGTCCACTATTCTTATGACCTAATTTGTATTTTGCTTGATTTGTGTTTGACAGTTTTCGGTTAGAATAATTCTAATTGGCTTTCGAAGAAACGTCATATTTGTGAGCAGCACGAAAATTTGAACCCCTTTATTTGAATTTCAATCTTTTGCTTAGACTGTTTTCCTGTTAAATTTGTACCCTTCATGTCGTTACGGATGTATGAGAAAAATATTCTGTTAAAAAATCCATGTGAATAATGGATAACAAGATTTGAACGTGCAACATACTACAAAGGGACACAAACACGGACGATTAAACAATAAAGCCGTTGTTTTGAGAAACATCATTTTTCTTAAGGTTTCCGAGGTGGGGATAGGTAAAGTTAAACACTAAACAGAAAAAGAGAGTCTAAGTCAAATTTTGAAACACAAATAAAGGTTCTCATATTTTCGTTCTGATCACAAATATCATATGTGTTCGAAAAAAAATGCGGATTATTCTAACTGAAAATTGTCGAATATAAGTCAAATAAACTGCAAACGAGGACATAGGCACTGTGGATTTCAGATTTTAGTTAAGAGTTCATCTCTTTTAGTTCATGAAAAATAGCTTGTTTTCTAGCATCTTCGAAGCGCCATTGAACATGAAGTGAACGAAGTTGAATCGAGGTTTCATTAATACAAGAATTAAACGACAAATGAAATGCCTATTCGTAATCCAAGGTCAAAATACAAGTACGGGAAAATTTGTTTTCGATCTATTAAAATGAAGCCTTTATTTCTAATAAGTAATTCTCGTATAAAAATGAAGCTTGAACAAGGGTATATCAGAAACAATCGTGAACACATTTCAACTCTTTTTAAAATTTTTTCCAATGAGCGTTCATATTGCTGGAATAGTATTCTTTTTGGTTAGTAGCCCGTTTAGTATATAATAATGGTATTCTCGATTTTTCCCTATAATCCATTCAAACGATCGAAAGCTTATAATCTATCATAAGTATATATGGGGGTAGCCAGTCTGGCTGGAGACCCCGATTTCTTTGTTATCGCACAGCTTCTAGTCATTATCAGAAACATTTGATTTTTTTACTAGTTATTTTATTGATAAAGAGCTGATAACCTGCCATTGTTTCGATCATATACTTTGTTTCTAGCTGATAGCCAAATAATAAAATAACTTCGTAAAATCTTTGTCTGTACCATACTTTTATCAGGTTTACTTATTATGATTCGTACTATCTATTTGAAACAGCAAGATATTCCCCTGGCATACGTTTAATAGAAAAACAGTGACTAGGAACTGCAGGTAAAGTATCATAGTGTAGTAAAAGTATTACGGATAGGATTTTTACTCAATTTAAAATTACATAAAGTGGCAACCACATGTGCAATTTTAGTAATCTTATCTAAACCATCGTAAGATCCTTTTTAAATACTTCCTAAAATAGCATCTGTTTTAATACGCTGATTAATGTTTTCAATAGCTACTCTTGCACTAGAAATAGATCGATAGAAATCTTTATCTTCGGCTGTTAATTCACCACTACGAGGTTTCTTTTTTGGAGTAACAACATATTGTCCACCAACATATCCATTATTGGCAATAATTTGAACGTGTTCTTGTGTATGTTCTAATAATCCTGATTCCTTTAAAATACTAATATCATGTACACTACTCGAATAACATTTAGATACATGAACTATGCGATGATTAAAATCTCAAGCTATCTGTATTTTGAATGCATAGTTTGTTGAACTTTTTGTATGATAATACACCTTACGTTGTCCAAAATCTTCAGGCTGATAAATGGCAATAAAGGTCGAATCGACAATTAGTTTGCGACTTTGTTCTGGTCCATATATTGTAGTTTCATCATCCATATCATCAGGTAATAAATTATACTTTGCGTATACAGAAGAATATAATGTATCTATGACCAAAGATAGAATATAATTAACTGTTGATCTACCGAAATTTAACTCTGTTGCTATATAGCGTTCAGAGTGATAATGCTTGAAATATCATAATGTAATTGAAAGTAGATTAATAGGAGATAAATATGTTATATTTGTGCTTTGTGTCTGTTGTCGTTGTCTATTCGTACAATATTCTGCAAGCGATTGTTCACACATACTGTATAACAATTGTACCTGTTCGATGTCATGCCATGTGTGTGGTATACATGAATCATTGCTACGACTCCATTCTGGCCATGGAGGTTGCTCTAGAATGTAAAAGCAATAAAAAGAAATCATAATGCTTTGTTAGTGTGTATCCAAGGTAAACTACTCAATAGAAACGAAATTCAAACGCTGACTAAACACAATAAATATTGCTTACCATCATATAACATTTGAAGTTCTTGAACTCTTGAAATCTGCTTTTGTTCCTTTAACTGTTGTCTTTCTTGTTCAAGTTCTGGTGTACAATAATTACATCTGTCACGATGTCGATGATAATTCTCGCACAAGCCAGATTTTTCAGAGGCAGCATACGTCCAAACTAACATTGATATGCAATTATTGCAGTATTTATAACAATCCGTTATAGTAATTTGACAATTAGGACAATCCCATTTAATTTGTGATGAAGATAACATCATGAACATATGCAGGTAAATGTATAGTTTTGGTGAAAATGTGTTCAAGCAAAATTATGAGTAAAAATTGGGCAAGAAAATCGAAAGTTCAATAAAGATGACTAAATTGAAACAAGACTATATGTAGAATTGAATCATGTAGATGTGTGTGACGAGAGAATATTGGATGAAAAAAAGATTCTTCTTTATTGGCCTCCTTGGTTGTGATTTACATATCTCGAAGATGTCTGCATCTAACTGTAATCATAATTATCTTTAGTTATTATTGACGCATAGATCCTGAATGCACGTTAATATTTAATTCTTTACACTACAAAATTCATGTAGTCAGTAAACATGAAAATGTATTCTACCAAAACATTTTATGATAATGTCTGATGATCGTGGTTTCGAACAAGGTGTACGATCAAATCAATAGTAGGTCATCAGTTTTTTATCAATACTATAACTGGCAAAAAAATCATATGTTTCTGATAATGAATAGAAGCTGTGCAATAACAAATAAATCGAGACCTCCAGCCAGACTGGCCACCTCCATATATATATATATGATTCAATTAGATCGAGTTTGAATAATCAAAAGCGGCCAAATTGTCTTCTTACAAGTTCGCGTCTTCTATTTGCAATTGTATAAGCCCGTGCATTGGCATCAATTGTCGACTTTTTTTTAAAACTTTATTTTGAGTTGACGACAAATCACTTTTCACATATGAGAACAGTCTCCAGTATTGTAAAACAATTTTTCGTCGTTGTTTTATGCAAAATCCATAAAATCGATAAAAATAAGTACTCTAATTCCGAATATGACCTCGTAAGAATTAGTCCAGTAATGAGAAGGATCTGAAGGATCTTTTGAAAGTTCTGAAAATATTTTTCTACTCCGAAGTCTATCGAAACCAGAATTGCATTCGGTGAAAATAGATTCGTGCAACGCAGAATCTTTTTTTCTCTATCGAAGTCTGTAAGAACTTTCACGGTATGTTGTTATTTTTCCATCAATGTCGTGTAAATACCATCCAGATTTAAAAGCTTTATTACTGAATTAATTTGAGAAAAAAAATATCATATTCATATCAGAGCACTTATTTTTACAGACTCATATGAACTTTGACTGAAACAACGACAAAAAAAATTCTAGGATGCCTAAGTGGTCTTTCAGATGCGAAAAAGTGACCTCTCGTCAACTACAAAAATACAGTTTTAGAAAAAAGTCGAAATTTGACGCTAATACACGGGATCATAAAATTAGAAGCTAATTTTGTGATATAAAACATGGAGATTTTCCGGCTTATATCCCTTGCGATGTTAGACAAAAAATAGCTTATCGGTTCCTAAAAAGTCTCTACTTCGAAAAAGTGTTACAAACCGTCCAATGAGAATTCGGAGCGGCTATCTGCGATATTAACTTTGTGTTTAGTCGTCGATGAAAAGTGCATCTTTGATTGAAGATGAAATCTTCCAGAAGATTACGATGTGCTGGATAAATCAAAACAACGTATCACATGATGCATGGACAGAAGTGATGCTAAAATTACAATATATTTGTTTCATGAGGTGCCATAAAGAAATAGAATAATTTGAGGTAATTTGAATTGGATAAACAAAACAATGTAAATAAGTAACGCCTAATAAATAAAAAAATCCGAATAATTTGAATCCAAAAAATAAATTAAGCTTGCAATAATTTAAGTCAACTTTTAAATTTAAATTATGGTACTAGACAAATTTAATTTATTTCAAATTAACAGGAAAGTGACACCAATATACTCGAGAGGTATAGGTATTTTTTAATGGCAGATGTATCTTTTTTTTATTAAAGGCAGTTCTATTATTTTTGCCTGTCTAGTTTTTACTTTATTGGACTTGTTTTATTTTAACACTTGACACTTAACACTCATAATCTTCGTATTGTATGGAGCGTTTCTTTCCATTCCAATAATTTTTGACTAGATGGCGCTTGATTTTGATAATCTGTATTTGACAGAATAGTTTCACACGTATGAAGAAACAAATTGTATGACTATAGAAACAAATGAATGCTACCAGTCTTCACAAATGCCAAATTTTATTGTTTAATTCTTGCAAAATAAATGAATGTTGAAATGTGACTAATTCTACTAAATTAAAACAAAATAGAACTTGGTTAAAAATGATGCAGATTTGTCGATACTCGAAGCGCAGTCAATGACAAACTTTTTTTTGTGATCATAAGACAAATGATTCGTTTTCTTCTATTCTTCATGTATAATGAACAGTTTCGATTATCTGTTTTGTTCCATAGTCACAGACCACAATTGATGGATGAACTCAAAACAATTGCATGGATTTTCTGGTTATTTATTGTTTGAATGATTTGTTAGGATGTTTTTTCTCGTTTTGAAAAACGTTTTTCTTCGCTATTTGTCTTTTCAAATTTTATTCCACTTAGCAGTCCCTGCTATATTTTAGTGAAATTTCCGAGAAACCGATCCAACGAGTGAATAGAGCATGACAGAAGATATTATGGTCATCTCATTGAAGTCATCATAGCGTCACACAAACGATCATTACATTCGAGTGTTTTCTTCATTTAGTGTGATAACTGCTGACTGTACCTTTTATCCAAAGTTCACTATACCGTGATATTTTCAATTTGTGTGCACCGCAAATTGATATTTTCACCAGGCGTTAAGGTCTTTTGATGCTGTTATTTGATGATGTACTTTCTCTCACTTGTACATTACCTACATATATGCCATACAGAATTCTTAAAATTTGTTACTAACTTGAACTCTTCAGAACATGGTTTTGGTACAATGGGTGTGGGCCTGGGTAACTACAAGACTTGAAAGTTTGCCCTTAAACACACACTTCAATTCACACGGTAACATCTTTCGAGAATGTATCAATCAAACTTGGATTCAATTTACTGTCCCTTTTTGATGATTTTGTTTTCCAGGCTTTTCGTTTCTACACATTCTCATGTACTTAATCAATCGATGACTTGAGGTTCGATACGCTTTACTCGTTTGAAAGAAGCAGTGTGCAGAATTTCGCCCTTCTCAGTTTGAATATGTTGTCCAGTCATCAGTCAACCTTGCACTACCTGAAGCAACTTTCGTTGACTACTCGACTATCGAGAGCAAGGCAAATTGATAATTTGCCAAAATGATTAATGCATTCATCGGGAAATATTTGCTACACTTTCAAATTTCTTGAATTGACTCGACGTGGCATATTGATATCCAATCTCTGACAGATTTCGTAGCAGTCACGGAGGAGAACACCCACATGAATCGACATTCACACGTGAATGAAATTTCAAATCGTGCGACTTCCAAAAAGTAACTTGATCTTCATTAGCATCACGCGGCGATTCAGTGAGACCATAAATAGCAATATTATTGATGCTTTGCGTTCCTGAACATATGCATACCTTCAAAATGATCAATTTGCTGACAGTTCTGCTTTTCATGAAGTAGTCAATGCATGAATAACAGCATCGATCGTATCTAGATGGGTTAGAATCAATTCGTCAGATTGAATTGCCTCTCAGCACAATGAATCACTGCAACCTGATTTTATCTCTGAAGTTTTTGCTGTTCAACTCAGTCTGACTCCTCACTTGATGACATTCCGGACACAATGCAGAGCAAACGGAGATACAACAGACCAATGTGATATAATCATATGGATCTGCAGCTATCAATTTAGACTCATCGCAGATATCCGATGGCGTACATTCGATTTCTAGAAGCGCGAGTTTGTTTCGTTTCTCTTGCATGATTTGTGTTGTACTTTGGCTACCATGGAGCATTCGCAGCTGTGAGCATTTCTAAAATCTAGCTTCACTAATTTTCTGCAGCGATATCTTTTCTATTCCTTTATTATTCTCCATCTACTATACTAAGAAGACTTAGCACTTTCAGAACAATGAAAATCAAAATGCATGAATCCATTGTAAATTGATGCTCAATCTCCTCCGGTACATATTCGGAGTGGTGCAATATTTCTAATTTTCTTCCACCCGTACTCAATGCAACACATGACACACAAACCTCTATCTGAAGTATTCCCTGATCTCACACTACACATAGATCTTCAAATATTTCATTTTTAGATCGAATCTACGAAACAAGCAGTTCATATTCAAAAATTCTCATGAACATGTTTGCAAAAATCCGTTACCTAGTTCCATAAACGCAATATACTATGTTTCATGAGATTCTGACGAAATAAAAAAGAAATAACAATGGTTAGAGCAGCCCACTGTAGTCTAATGTTAGGATCTCCGACTGTAAAGTTAGAATGATGACAGATATCGGAGGGTTCCGGTTCGATTCCGGGCGGTGGGATATCTATTTCTTTTTATTGCATCATTTTTCTTTGGTTCTGGCCATGCTTCCAATTCTCGTGATGCGACGTTTAGCAACGCTTTTCTTTATGCACTTCCAGCGGATCTGTCATTTTATGCCCATTATGGCTGTTCATCTATCGTAAAGAGGGGATTTTTGAAATACCAACGCGCGATATTCGAAACGTTGAAATCTATTTTAAATTGAGCATAAGCTTCCCCATATGTTAGAACCATGCTGTCTGGTTTTGTAATTATCTTCGATTGAGCTGCAATCAAATAAATGCTATCTGAACATATCCTTCAGCAATGTCTACTTTTGAGAAACCACTACATTCCGATCTTGAAATACCAAACTTTATAAGCAAATCAATATGAAAAGCTCCTCTTGGTTGACATGCATTAAGAAAAGCGTCTAAAAATTCAGCAGTTTTTTCTCGATAAACGCCACATTCTAGGTTTCATGACATTCTGACGAAAGAAAAAAGAAATAACAATGGTTAGAGCAGCCCACTGTAGTCTAATGTTAGGATCTCCGACTGTAAAATTAGAATGATGACAGATATCGGAGGGTTCCGGTTCGATTCCGGGCGGTGGGATATCTATTTCTTTTTATTGCATCATTTTTCTTTGGTTCGGGCCATGCTTCCAATTTTCGTGATGCAACGTTTAGCAACGCTTTTCTTTATGCATTTCCGCGGATCTGTCATTTTATGTCCATTATGGCTGTTCATCTATCGTAAAGAGGGGATTTTTGAAATACCAACGCGCGATATTCGAAACGTTGAAATCTATTTTAAATTGAGCATAAGCTTCCCCATATGTTAGAACCATGCTGTCTGGTTTTGTAATTATCTTCGATTGAGCTGCAATCAAATAAATGCTATCTGAACATATCCTTCAGCAATGTCTACTTTTGAGAAACCACTACATTCCGATCTTGAAATACCAAACTTTATAAGCAAATCAATATGAAAAGCTCCTCTTGGTTGACATGCATTAAGAAAAGCGTCTAAAAATTCAGCAGTTTTTTCTCGATAAACGCCACATTCTAGGTTTCATGACATTCTGACGAAAGAAAAAAGAAATAACAATGGTTAGAGCAGCCCACTGTAGTCTAATGTTAGGATCTCCGACTGTAAAATTAGAATGATGACAGATATCGGAGGGTTCCGGTTCGATTCCGGGCGGTGGGATATCTATTTCTTTTTATTGCATCATTTTCTTTGGTTCTGGCCATGCTTCCAATTCTCGTGATGCAACCTTTTGCAATGCTATTTTGCATGCGTTTGTCGAAAATGTGTTGGTTTCTTGCTCACTGTTTTGTTTATGTATTGCAAAGAGAAGGGTTTTGAACTATCTGCAAACGAAATTTTAAGTCTTTCAAGAGGATTGTGGTATTTCGTGTAATTGTATTGTTTTATTGGATATACGTCAAGCACAAGACAAGCTTCGTAAACCTCGGTATGACAATTGTCTTTTGATGAAAATGTATGTAGGGTGAATCCATGGGGTTTATAGCACTTTTGTGGAAAAGAAATGTTTATCGCTTGGAATAGTCTACTTAGATGTATCATATTGGAAAACGGTTTGACGCAACAATTTAAACCTTTTTGGACGTATAAAGTGTGGAGAATCGAATCATTTTTCCGGAACACTCCACGCAGATAAAAAGTGTCGTATAATAAATTGTTAATTATATTTTTCGTAGTTTTTGTTCGCATAAAGAGCTAGAATTTTTATCACGTCGGTATCTAGTCAAGATCTTTTATATCTGAAGTTTTCAGTTCTGTAGCCAAAACTAAGGGTGAAATACATTGACAAGACTGAAATGCATGAAGTTTCGTATTTGATTTTTGCACATTTTTTCCGTTAAATTATTGGGAAAATTGAGTGCAAACTTGATGCATTTCACCGTTAGTTTTAGCTAGAGAACTGAAAATTTTAGAAATAGAAGATCTTGATTAGATACCGATGTGATACAAGTTTAAGCTCTCTATGCCAACAAAAACTATGAAAAATATGATTAACAATTTATCATCAGTTATTATGGGTTGGCCTTTAATAGTGTGGAATCTTCCTGAATAACAATGTGGTTTTCCACACTTTATATATCTAAAAAGGTTTTAATTGTTGCCTTAGACTGTTTTCGACTATGGTACATCTAACTAGACTATTCAAAACGAAAAGAAACCTTTCCTTCAGAACATTGGCACAAAATACCCTTCTTTCACAAAGTGGTAGAAACCCCACGGATTCATCCTTATATCTATTTTTAATTTTTTACAAAAGCAGATTTCGTGCACTCATCTATTACATATACTCTAGATAATAATATACAAACATCAGAGAAAGCTAAAGATAAACGTGCAGTGCATATTCTGTTATATGCAATGCATGAGCGGCTATTGTTCACAATGTGATTCAAATGAGTCGTGGTCAAAAATTTTCACGATTGCTTCAATATCTCGAAAAATGTGCTCAAAGCGAAATGTATTATGATAAGATTGTTGCTGGGGTACAGTGGATCCGTCGAGTAAGTTTTTTTTTTAAATGAATTAAGTTATGAACAACGTTTTGAAGATTGAATCAATTATGGCACTATTTGAATTTCGTCCAAATCAAATTTTTGATGGAAGCCAACACATTATAGACGTCGTGGCGAAGCAATATCTTGAACAGGCCACTAGTGATGTGCACCACCTTGTTCCTGTCAAAGTCACTGTCAATGGAAATTGTTTGTACAATTCAATTCTTCTGCTAATGAATAATCGAGCAGTGACAACGAATGAATTATGAGGTATATAAATATCCCTTTCAATTATCTTATTGCATAGTTTGTTTCGCGATAATTTTAGTTCGAACGGTTATTGAGCTTGTTTCGAATGAGACTTATTATTCAAACACGTACTCACCTTTCGTCGGACCTATCAACATCGCAATACAAGCTGTATCCCAAAATCACACATTTTCCGAATTATATGAAATTGGCGCATTATGCAATGCACTTAAATGTAACATAAGAAGTATCTATCCAAAAATTGACGTTCGAGATCATACAGCTATCGCCAATAATATCTTTATACCTTCTCCACCTATTGTTGATAACTGCGAAATTACAATTTTATGGTCATACACTTTGAACGAAAAAGAGGCGAGAATTGCAAATAGCTCTGCATGGAGTCCCAATAATTTTGTTCCTGTTCTGCAACCATATGTTCAACATGAATTGGATATTAATCATCAATTAGCGCCTGTTCTTGTGGTAGGTTCTTTATCGATGACAGAGAATTCACAACTTTTGTGATCTATTTAGACTCCTGAAAAGAAAACATTTAACAATAATTCTGTTATCCAAATACGAATTTCTGAATTTCAATTATCTCCTAGCAGACGTTTACGAAGTGAAATTAATATAAACACTGTTTCTTCTCAGTCGATCATATCTGATAAAATGTTGAAAGGTCAGAATGACAAAGAAGAACAACGTCAAATTCAACTTGAAAAGAAAAGAGAACGAGTTTGATCTAGTCAAATGAATGAAACCGAACAACAGCGCCAAAATCGTCTTGAAAAAGAAAGACAACACAGTCACTCTAGTCAAGTGAATGAAACAGAAGAACAACGCCAAAATTGACTGGAACAGCAAAGAAAGCAAAATCAGATTAACAGAGCAAAAAATAAAATCCAGAAACACGCATCTCACAATATTAGTATTCAACAACAAAATATTCAGATGCGATTTATTGGAACGGAAGAACATGAATCGTATAATGGTAGTGGTACATATGATCCTATACTAAATGAAAATGTCATAATGGAAAACAGAAATTCTACTTCTCCGTCTTGGGTGGAACCAATTTCTTGTGATTTGAAAGAGAACTGTCTGAAACAATTTCTTCATCGAATGTCCATGTCAGCACTAGCTGAAACTACTTGTGCAGTTTGTAACGTTCGGATTCCAGCGCAAAAGTCGAAATCAGTACTTATCTCAAAACGTACTAATAGTATTGAATTACTCAAAGTTTCAGACGAAACTAATGCTTTAATCATGAACACCCAGCTATCGAATCAGCATCACATAAACCACGACACTGTAACTACTGTTAATAGTGATGGTATACAGATGATCGATAATGTTCAAAGTAATATATATCTTTTCGTAATTGAAGTTTTTTCAATAATTTTTGATTGTTTTAGGTATTTCAACTTCCAAGTCACTATCTTTTTATTGTGAAAATAATATTATTTTATATGCTGGTGGCTTATTTCAACAGAACAATGTGAATATGTGTAGACTCTGTCAAAAATTCAATGATGCTTTGTCGAAAGGACGCATTCCTAAGTTTTCAGCTGGAAATGGTGTGTGGTTAGATGATGTGCCTGCTGAATTACAAGACTTAGCAATTCCAGAAGAAAAGTTAATATCACTATATCGTCATAATAGCTGTGTACTAAAACTTCAATCACCTTTTCATTCAGCTACAACTTCACAAACAGCATTGAAAGGCAATTGTATTACTTTTATTCAAAATATATCAAACATTGTTGATAGTCTACCACTAAAACTCGACGATCTATGTGACACATTAAAAGTTATTTTTGTTGGATCTCGTCCTCCTGAACGTATTCATCTTAGAAAAAATTTTAACAGTAAGCAAGAAAAAAATTATTCAGGCTCTGCAATGGCTGAAGAAATATAATGTTCTCTACCAAACGGTCAAGATAAATCTTGAGAATATTGCTCAACTACCTGAAGACGACGTACCGGAGTCTATTATGTCAACCATGGAACAAAAGATAGGTGAGGAAGAAATTCAATCTGAAAGAGTCGGGTATGTTTCTGATCCATTATTTAATTCAACAGAACACACGACTTCAGATACTATTCCTATCAGTGATAGGTAAAAATCAGGCATTGAAGAAACTATTTCATCAATTTTTTTTTGTCTTTAGTGGTGTACTTGATGTCAATGGTTCCATTGTATAGTCGGACGACATTGCAAAATATTTTTTACACAAAATTAAAAGATAAGGGGGAAAGGGAACACATGGAGAATGAACGTGTTTATTTGATTCCTCATTCTTCCAAGCCTGTTAATGAATATTCTAATCCAAAATTATTAGCGGGTCTATATCCAACTCTATTCTGTTATGGACGTGGAGCACCTGAAGATCAATCATGTCCAATTGCAATAAAGGACGGGGGACGTTTTGGGGCGATTTTGGACCAATTGAAAAGTAAAGGTACTTTCTCATGCAACTTTCACCAATTGTAGAGCTCAGGGTCACTAGTTACTCCTATAACTTTCGACTTGATCGGTCAAACTTTTCCCTTTCTTTCGCACCCACCCAGATACGCTATATTGGGACTTATAAGGGACAAAGAATACTTCATTTTGAAAATACTATTTCAATAATTTGATAAATTATTTAAACACCAGTTGATAGAGAATTTAATTCTGCATAAAACTATATAAGTAGCTTGCAATAAAATTTAAAAACCGTTTACAAAAAGGTTCGAATACTATTAGCCGCCGCCCANTGTACGTTGTTGTGAACAGAAAGAGAACAATCTATATTAACTGAATAAAATGGAGTAAAATAATTTTCACATATACTTGAAAGAAACTTTAATGACAAAAAAAAGTATTTTAACAGATAAAAAATATTTTAAAAAATAAGAAAGATTAAGTTGTTCTTCGTCTCTGGCAAAAGAGACTTGAAGTAAAAATAGTGGGTTTTTATCGGTAACAGATCATATTTTCTCATGATTGGTTTTACATCTAGGCTTTTTTATGATTTGTTACGAACCTTTGTTAAAGCTATTTGATTCTCCATTGTTCCCTTTCACTATTTCTTGTTGGTTAAAATACATTTTTTTGTCATTAAAGCTTGTTTCAAGTATACATGAAGATTATTTTACTCTACTTTATTCAGTTAATATAGATTGTTCTCTTTCTGTTCACAACAACGTAGAAACATATCACCCCGGAGGGGTTTTGAAGGGTAGGTGTTCGGTGAATAAAATTTTATTCACCGAACACCTACCCTTCAAAACCCCTCCGGGGTGATATGAAATTTGTGCATGCGAATGAATATATTATATTATCTGTCAGATTATATATTAACTCTTTCGATGCCCCATATCATCTTCGAAATGACATACAGAACGAAAAAAGAATTCTTTTGCGTTCTTTCGTCTTATTATACGATGAATATCATATGACATGTTCAAAGGAAAATCAATTTAAATTTCGAACACACACAATTGTGACTGCTGAATGCAAGACAGAGAGCGATTAAATTATTTTTTTTTGTGCTCATGCAGAGCGCAAGAAAATGCCGGGATTGAAAGAGTTAACGTAAACACATATTATGTTCGATTTGTTTTCTATATGATTGTCATTATAGAATGTATATATATTTATCTTTTCTGCAACACCATAGCTTACTCACATTGATGAAAAAAGGCAGAGAAAACATCAAAGAAATTAGAAAGTGAAAGAAATAAGATGATGTCATTGGTAAGTGACGAATAACTTCTCGAAGAGAGAACAAAAGAGAAAGAAGATTAAAAAAAAGCCGTTCGTAACAACATATTCTCTTGTTTTAAGTACAATTTTTTTCCTCGAAGGTGTCGTATAAGCGAATTGGGAATATGTCTCATTGCTCTCACCTGTCACTAATTGGAATAGTATCTGCAGTAGTATGTNAGTTTGGCTCTGTATATCAATGATTCGTGATTCCATTTCTTCATGTTTTTGCGTAATAATTTTGTATATTTGATTATATTTCTCTTGTAATTTTGAAACTCGCTCTGCATTGCTTATGCAAATATTTTGAATGCGTTGAACAGCTTCTTCTAGTGGAATTTTTTCAGTTGGACTCTTTTCAGGTGGCATGATTTTTTAGTAATTAACAACGATAATAATGATTAATAACTATTTTTGTTGAAAATAGTACAAAAAATTATAAATTAATTAGAAATATGGTCGTTTGAGTTTGATTTGGTGAATTACGCAGGATTGTTCTAATATATAGGTTGAATAATACGTTAAAGTAATAAATTAATATATATTTATTAATGGTTGCATACTAAGACTTCAGAAATAATAGATCAGAAAAGAAACTAGAACTAGTAGACACAACGCAATAATAACTTCAATTGAGAACCGATAAGAGTCTGTCCAAGATTTTAAAAAAACTAGGAGAGCAATTTCTTCTCTATATACATCAATACAGGTATGCGTAAATCAGCAAGAGAAAGAAAAAAAATGAAAGAGAGAGAGAGAAATGTCGAGAGAAATATAAAGAGAAAGAACATAAAGAAAAAGATAGCAGAGAGAGCACACAAAAAAGAGTACATTAAGTGATCTATATGCTCTTTGATACACACACAATAGAAGCTATTAAATTCATTTATCTATCTCATATTGATTAGATCTTTTACCATTACAGGAGTGAAAATATCCCTGGTGGAAGTTGATTCACAATCAATCCAAATTAAATCAGTGGATTAAGAGGTCAAATTGGTGAAATATTAAAAGTATTATTAACTAGATGTCGCAAACAAAGATATAAATTAAAGCAGATACGAATTGCAGACGATGTTTGAAAGTATAGAGGCTAATCCGTCACTGACTGCATCACATCAAGATGAAGTCATGCACAAAAATGTAGAAAGTAAACAACAATCGAATCGTATGTTGTATGCTGGTATGATTGCAAAAATGAATTGTATGCTGAACAAATTAAATAAGTTTACAGGATCGGTAATGACCTCACCGATCATGACACAGAATAGTGAAGCAAAAGTAGAAGAATATGGAACAGGAAGACTATTAACGTTAAAAGCAAATACTTCCTCGGAGCATACTCTTCCAATAACTTCGGATCTGACGAAGCATGAAATAAAGTATGTAGAAAATACATCATCGGAATTTCTAGTAAATGGTACGAAACGTTTAATTATGATATCACCTTCCTCAGAAGCTCCAGTATTCCACCGAAAACACTCAGAAAGTCCAGCACAATTCTTGATCCACGTTCAAGAGTATGTTAAATCAGTACGTCTTTATGATCGTCTTACATTAGTCAACGGTATTTCACAGTTTCTACGAGAATCAGCTCTAGAATGGTACTGTCAATTACGTCTGTCATATCGTCAACCGCAAACATGGGAAGAATTTACAGAATTATTTCTGGCACAATTTAATACGCCGATTCGTAGAGCACGTCAAGAAACAGAATGGTATGAATGTAAGCAGAGGGAAAGTGAAACCATAAATGAGTTTTTAGTTCGCCTTTGTGCTCTCTAGAGGGAACAAAAACCAAATGAAACCGAAACCGATCTAGTCAAACATCTTTTATGTCGAATACGCAACGACTTATTCAATATGATAAGAATATCTCGTAATGCTTCATTAGATGAAATAATTGCTGAAATTCAACAAGTAGAAGATATTTTATATCGTCGAGCCAAGGATGAACAATTATCAAATCAACTAGAACAACTATCACTTCAGAAGATCGAAACATTACCAAACAGGCGTTATAACAAATGCGATTCACATAAAACAACACCGAGGTTGAGTAACAAATACTCAATAAACAGGAACATGGTTATATCTAGTCGTCACTTAAATAATCAAAGTCAAAGAACAGTAAATACGAACACGTCTCAACAACTGAATTCGTATGGATGTTACTCGTATGGAGGGTACAGACACTTGGCAAGAAGTTGTCCAACACAATATGGTGATTATCGACAAAGACAAAGCAAACCAAATCCAAAAGAACGACAGAAGAATCCTGGACGAAAGGATCAGTTAGACTGTTGTGTAGACAAATATGTTAAATCGTTGGCCGAATTACACTCACTTGAAACTTATCAACAAATAAACATGAATACACGATGTATTTTTTGTAGCGTAAACTGCACAGGTTATTGTTGCTCACAATATAGCGGCGTGAACCGTGGTCTTAAATTCAAACGAGTACTTCAACTTTTGGAAAAATGTTCCGAAAGTGTTATGTACTACGATGAAATTAATTTGGTTGTAAAAAGAATTCAACAAGTAAGTTTATTAAAATGAGATGATGATTAAATTATGATGTATAATATATTATAGATTCAGTCATTTATAGTGCCATTTGAATTTCATCCTATTCAAGTTTTCGATGCAAGAAAACATGTGGTGGATCTGGTAGCTAAGAGATATCTTCAAAAAACGGCTGATGATGTGCATCATCTTCTTCCGATTGATGTCCTTGGTAATGGAAATTGTTTATACCCTTCTATTCTTCTTTTGATGAATAGTTCATCAGTAACGACAGATGAATTGCGAGGTACAAGGACTTTTTTCTATCCTATTGTATAATTTATTTCAAACCAAATTTTAGTTCGAACAATTATTGAACTTATGGCAAACGAAAATTATTATCAAACCATGTATTCACAATATGTAGGACCTATCGATATTGCTATCAAATCTATTTGCAAAAATCATACATTTTCTGAATTATATGAAATAGCCGCGTTATGCAATGTACTTCAATGTAATATACGAAGTATTTATCCAAAAATTGACTTTCAGCACTATACAGCCTTGTGGCAGAGTGTCTTTACAACTGTTCCACCTGTTATCGCTAAGTATAGTATTGCAATTTTGTGGTCACATGCCCAAAATGAAAACGATGCTCGAATCATGAATAATAGTACATGGAGCCCAAATCATTTTGTTCCACTTCTATCACTAAATAGCCAAAATGAGTCTAACGACTACTATAACTCAATGTTAATATAGTAAGTTACTCATTAGCAAATAAAAAAAAATCACCAAATTTTAAATTTTCTTTAGACTCCTCAAAAGAAAACGTTTAAGAATAGTTCTGCTGTTCAAATAAGAATACCTGAATATCAATCTTCTCCCAGTAGACGAGTACGAATTGATGACAGCATCGAGAAGGATCCCGCTGAACCAATTATTTCAGGCTCGGTACAAAATAGAAAAACTGATCAAGAAAATCAACGTCAAATTCAACTTGAGAAGAAAAGACAACGCAACCGATCCAGTCGTATGAGCGAAACAGAAGAACAACGTCAGATTCGACTCGAGAAAGCAAGGGAACGAAATCGATCAATTCGCATGAACGACACAGAATAACAACATCAGAATCGACTTCAGAAGAAAAGAGAACAAGATCGGTCAATTCGTATGAATGAAACAGAAGAACAACGTCGGACACGACTCGAACAACAAAGAAAGCTAAGCAAAACCAATAGACTTAAAAAGAAATTTGAAAAACAATTATATGAAAACATTGCTATTGATCGAAATAATATTAGGACGCAGTTTTCCATTGGTCAACCTTGGCCTGAACCAATTGCTTGTGAGTTGAAAGAAACCCGTTTACAACAGTTTTTAGAACAAATGTCCATGCCAATACTGGCTGAGGTTACTTGCGCAGTTTGCAATATCCGTACTCCAGCAAAAGACTCGAAAACAATACCAGTCCTACAAATTCCAAATATTCATTTACTTAAAGTTTCTGAAGAGCTCAAAGATTTTATTAAACATTTGAACGAAGGCACTAAAATCTCCACCAACAACAATACAGAAACAACAGAACATACTGAGAGTAACAAATGTGATTTTTGTAATTTCAAAATTTATACAAACTATATTTATTTTAGATCCTTCAACGTTTAATTCGTCATCGTTTCATTGTCAAAAACGACGTTATTTTATACAAAAGTGGTTTATTTCAACAAAATAAAGTGGACATGTGTAGACTGTGTCAACAATGTCATGCTGCTCTTTTAAAGAAATCTATCCCTAAGTTTGCAGCTGCCAATAATATGTGGTTAGGTGATATACCTGCTGAATTATAAGGATTGACAATTTCAGAACAGAAATTAATATCACTTTATCGTCATAATAGTTGTATCATAAAAGTTCATTCCCCTTTTCATTCAACTACCGCTGCCCAGACAGCATTGAAAGGAAATTGCATTAATTTTCTTCAAAATGTACCAAATATTGTCGATAGTTTACCACTCACACTTGACGATTTATGTGATACATTGAAAGTGATATTTATTGGAGCTCGACCTCCCGATCGTATTCATCTAAAAAAAGTCCTCACAGTGCGTAAGGAAAAAATTATTCAAGCATTACGATGGTTGAAAAAACACAATATACTTTATCAAAAAGTTAATATAAATCTTCAAAATATTAATCAATTACCAGAAGACGATGTGCCAGAATGCATTATGTCAACATTAGAACAAAAGTTAGATGATGAAGAAATTTCCTCTGAAAGAATTGGATATGTTCCAGATCCATTACCCAATCCAATAGGATCTACTGCTGCAGGTACTATTCCTATTAGTAACAGGTAAGACCAATTAATCAACCTATTGTTCTATAGGTCTTTTTCTATTTAAGTGGTATTCTCGACGTAAATGGCACATCAGTTTGTTCAGAAGAAATTTCTACCTACGTTTTGAACAAGATAAAACATAACGCACACAAGGATCAGATAAATACCGAAAATGTTTATTTAATTCCTCATTCCTCAGCACCTGTCAACGAATATTTCAATCCGAAATTATTAGCAGGTCTGTATCCAACTTTATTCTGTTATGGACTTGAAGCACCTGAAGATCAATCACGCCCAGTTAAAGTAAATTTACGAGAGCACATTCGATATCTATTATCTTATAATGATCGCTGTTTCGAAACAAACCACAGTTTTATATTTGTGGTTTTTAATCTGTCGCAACGCCGTGATGCCTGTTTTCATGCTCAATTGATAGCAACAAAACCTTACTTTCGAGCATCTGCTGATGAAATTCAATCGTTGAGTAGTAAAGATATTGAAATAGCTCTCGAGAGCAGTTTGAAGCGAACGTACAGTAGTGCAGAATCAAACAGTACATTGAACAAGCTTCTCGAACATATTAAAACTATTGGGGGTCGAGTAATGGGTTCAGCATATTCACGAACGGCTTTGCGTACACGAATCTATGCACTTATATATAACCAAGGCCTACGCAGCATATTTCTTACGATCAATCCTGCCGATATTCACAGTCCTGTAGCACTGTACTTTGCAGGTGTTGAACTTAATTTAGACAATATTTAAAGTGAACAACTTATGGATGCTTACAAAAGAGCTGAAATTGTAGCATCCCATCCAGTTGCCACCGCCAAATATTTTCATCTATTAATTACAAATATTTTAACTACTATGATTAGTGGTGGTTTCCTTGAACCAACAACAGCTTATTTTGGTACTGTTGAAAGTCAAGAGCGAGGTTCTCTTCACTTACATCTTCTTATTTGGCTTGATCATGATATGACACCTGCTGATCTCAAAGAAAATATTCAAGATGTCCATTTTCGTGAAAAGTTAAAAGCATATTTAGAAGATATTTATCAAAGAAGATCTAGATGACTTCAAGGAAACACATGTTTTCGAAAATTTAAACAGTATAAATCTTTTTAGTCCGAATATCTACTTCTCTTTTTATGTTATAGCACCCAGGTCATTCAATACTCCTCAACGAATCTCACAAGACAATATTTATGCAGCCTTACGTACTATCGATTTAACAGGCTGTAGCCAAAATGAATCTCGATCTCCTGCTTGGGCGACACCACGAAAACAGCAACTATCTCCATCAATTCCAAACAGTGCGTCAATGATTTCTTTTGGTTCTCCATCCTGGCATCAATCATTGCGGACACCAACTCATGACCAAACAACATCGGGTACGATATTGTGAATCATCAAAAAGAGACAGAGCATTTAATTGCTATTTCAGATATAAATACCTCAGATAACAACTCAAATTTAATTCCAGCTTGCTTATTTGCTCCAAATCCATCGTCGCCTAATTTTTCATCAAGATTTCGAGCAGATGTAGTACAAGTGGTTGAAACAGGCAACATTCATAAACATAGCGCCACTTGCTATAATATTGCAATACCAATCGAGGCGGCAGAAAAAGTTGCCGCATGCATATGCCACGTAAATTAGTTCCAGTTTCGACGATTGATCCAGAAACTGGTCATATTTCAATGCGACGGTCGGATCCAATGATCAATAATATTAACGAGTATATTATAGCAGCTTGTCGTTTCAATATGGATATCAAATTTATCTGGACTGGTAGTGATGCAAAAGCGCTCGTTTATTATATTACTGATTATGTGATAAAAATTATTCTTTCTTTTCATGATACACTTTCTCTTGTACAGAAATGTATTACATCTATTACGAATCGATTTTGTGAAACAAATAAACAAAAATGCAATTGACAAATCACGAAAACTAGTTTTACGGTGTTACAAAGCACTTGCTTCTCAACAAGAGCTATCTGGAGTACAAGTTGTTTCTTATCTCATGAACTGGAATGACCATTACACAACACATAAATTTCAAGGTCTGTATCTAATTCAAACTGAACGATATTTACAAACACAACTGAATGATATACGTGCAAAACAAAAACTGATAGTCTTAGCAGAAGGTGAATAGTTTATAGAGACTAATACTTATTGTCTTTTTCTTTTATTTAGATGCAACTGATGAAGACGTATATGATGAAACTACTAATGATGAAAACAACGATGAAGAAAATTTTCAAATTCAATCGACTGGCTCTGACAAAAATTACGTATTCGTTAACACAAGAATTGATTATCAATATCGTTCCGATATTTTCAATGACATGTGTTTGTATGACTTTGCTAGCACTATAGATAAGAAAAAGATGAATGCAGCTGATTTAAAATATTTATCGACGAATATGGCATCATCACGAGAAGAAGAAGGTAACCAAAGAGGTCGACCAGTTAATGAACGTTTTCCTTTCCAAAGCCAACATCCACAAGCAAAAGCATATGTTTTGATGAAATACAGTGAACCTCATGTACCAATTCTTTATGGTCCACAAATTCCTCGACAATATCGTGATGATACTCGAGAACGATATTGTCGAGCTCCTCTTACACTTTTCGTACCTTGGCGCACCGTTACTGATCTTTGTGACCTCAACCAAACATGGGAAGATGCTTTTAAATCTCGACAAGAATATATTTCCATTCACTCATGGAAGATTATAGAGAATATTCAACTGTTACATGAATGTAGGAAGGATCGTGATGAACACCTCCTTCAAGTTATTACTGAAGCTCAAACTGATAATGATGGAATTGATACTGTTCTTTTACCTTCAGATCAAAATGTTGATGGTGAATACGATATAGACGATAATGAAGGCTTATCAGAGTTGTTGAACAACATAGATGAATATACAATTAAAGCAATTAATGCCGGCAAAAGAACAACAGAAGATAAATATATTCAAGAAACTATCGAGGCAGTCGAAAAGGTTGGACGATTTAGTGATATAAACAGTTAAGTCATAGCTTGCAATGAGCAGTGATCTAAAGTAGAAAATAAATATGGAATTTTTTTTTAGTTCGTCATCAATCTTCTTCAAATGAATTTATTGATTCTACAAATCAACAACTTACACCATTTGTTTCTGCAACACAAAATCTTGTTCTACTAAACAAAAAATGGCAAGAACAATTGAAAACTGACAGGGAACGAGTTAGACAAACTTTCATTACAGGTAACTATAGTGCAGCAGATGATTCATTAGATTTACATGTTGCAAACGATGCCATTGTAACAGTGATGAATCCAAATAGTAATAATAATAACAATCTTGAAAGTTACGGTTCAATTCTTCCAGTTGTGTCAGTTACAACCAACTTTCCCACGCAAAAAAGTATCGCTGATGAATTTACATTAAACAGAGAACAACGTGCCGCATTCATGATCATTACAAGTCATCTTGATGGTGACAGTCGATGTCGTACAGGTATTTTTACAATATAATCTATTAAAAATTAATGTTTATCGTGTTTCTAGGTTCTAATAATAGTCAACTTATAATGTGCATACCTGGATGTGGCGGTACAGGGAAATCACAAATTATCCGTGCTCTTAGTAAATACTTTGTTATCACCAAAAGGATGCAGATGTTGCGAAAACTTGCACCTACTGGAATTGGTGGTATGACAATTCATTCATCTTTAGGTGAACAACGTAATTCTAGAAAGCCACGAATCATCAAACCAGGCGATTCAAAACTTGAAAAAGAGTGGAGACTGGTCGAATATCTGTTGATCGATGAAATAAGTATGGTTGGTTTACATTTATTAGCAAAACTTAATCGAATCATCTGCTCTGCAAAATATGTCGATCCTCAAATTCCATTCGGTGGTGTAAGCGTTATTTTCTTCGGTGACTATTTGCAATACCGACCCATCTACGATGCACCATTACATACTGATTTTTCTTTACCATCGAAACAAAAATCAGGTAAATTGCTCAATGAAAAAGAAATTCAACAACGCGTTGCACGCTCTCTGATTCTTCAAATCAACTGCGTTGTAAAACTCACTCAGCAAATGCGAACGGAAGATCTTCAATATCTTGAACTTCTCGAACGCCTTCGTCATGGACAATGTAATCATGACAATTATGAGTTACTGTTAACACGAGTTGTAGGACAACCATCAGTAGGCTCTCTATGTGATTCACCTTGGAATAAAGTAAAGCTTCCTTTTTGTTTTAAATAATTATTTATCTTCGTTTTTCCAGGCGCCCATTCTCGTGTTCCGAAATGAAGTGCGGACACAATTGAACAATAAGGCAGCAATTCATAAGGCAGCAGAGATGGAACAAGCACTTATAGTATGTATTGCTCAAGACAGTTGTAAAGACAAACCAATAGAAGATCGAAGATTAGTTAAAACATTGTTAGAATTGTGTGATAGCAAAACAGAGCATTTACCTGGTCTTTTGCCTTTGGTTCCTGGAATGCCCGTTATTTTAACACAAAATATTGCTATAGAACTGGGTCTTATTGATGGAATGAGTGGAATCTTTCGACAACTTGTTTATGAAGAAGATTCTGTTTCAACAGGCGTTATTTCAGAAACATTTTCCAGCAATACACGATATATCCGTAAACCTTTATACGCCATAATTGAAATCGTTCGGTCGAAGGTTGAATGCAACTTCGAACAACTTGGATCAAATCTCGTTCCCATACCATTAGTGGAACAAACATTTCGTATTAATATTGCTGATATTCTACCAAAAGATAAGAAACCAAAATCAAATCAGAAGACAATTTTATCGATTAAGCGACGTGCATTACCACTTGTGCCTGCATATTCTATTACAACACATAAAAGTCAAGGTCAAACTTTGAATAATGTTGTAATTGATTTAAAACTACCAAATAGAACTGATGATATTGCCGCAATCTATGTACCTTTGTCACGTGTGAAACGTTTGAATGATTTAATTATTTTAAGACATTTCGATTACAAAACTTTATTAATGAAACCAAGCAAATCTCAACTCGTTGAAATAGAAAGACTAGATAAACTATATATAGAAACACAACTGCGTTTTGCTCAATGGTTCTAGCCTTCTTTTTCTCTTTTACAGAATTTGCATGTAATTGTTAGTACTTATAATATTACAAGCTTTTAATAAAAAACATGTTCTATCCAAAACAATTTTACATTCAAGATCGAGTATTGCTTTTTCGAATGTTACGAGTTAAGCAAAGACATTTGAATTGCTTATTCGTATAAAGTTGCTAGGTCAATTCTTCCCACATTGGCACATGCAAAAAAAATACTTCTGTCTTCCACAGTCGAGGGTTAAGTGAGTCGAACCGACGAACGTTACTTGTTTCTTAATTTATTCATATAGCACTACAGTTAGATGGTTATGATGTGTTTGCTTATTATTATCAGTGTGTTTTTCAAAATTAATAGAAAAGTAGAAGCAGAATATCTTTAAAATAAGAACCATCATATTCAAACAATATTTTTTCCAATCATTTATTTCTTCTGTCAAAATGTTCAATTGAAAGAGAACTTTTTTTGAACACGAAATATCTGTACTATGAATTTCACATATATGAGTATATATCATTGAATAGTAAATTTTTGATACGATTGAGATTTTATCTGTTTTGGCGTGATAACTCTTTTTCTCATTGACTAATCAGGTGCACTATTGTTTGTGCAAGGTAGCTTGGTAACTAAAGTGACCATTGAGGTAGAGGAGGGAATGAAACGAATTCAAAAACTCTAGTTCTTTTCTTTTTTATGACAGAGTTAACTAGACAAAGATGCCATCTATTCCTTTTTATTAGACTACTATCAAAAAAGAAACACCATATATATATAAAGCTATTTTTAAACGCCACATGTTTTTTTGGTAGTCTTTTTTCAAAAAAAATACATATTTTTCTTTAAGTAATTATATGATCAATGGAAACATTAAGTCAATGATAAATAATTTTTTTGACTACTACTATAATAAAATTTAGAAATAATATATTCATAATATACGTCATTCCGTCCTTCCAGTTTAATAATTTTGTTTTTTTTCTAAATTTTTTCCAAAATTATCGATTTTTTATGTCATCTATTTCGTAGACAGAACAATGAAACAAAATATTTTTTTTGCCAATCGATAACTTGTGTATGCTCTATTCAATTATATGCCAGTTGTATTTTTCACTCCCTCCTTTTACATGCTTGTGCTCTATATATTTAATTAAAACTAGCATTTTTGTGTAGAATGATCTTATATTTAAATTTAACTTTGTGTAAAAGTCGAAAAGTAGCAAAGATATGTAGACGAAGGATAGCTGAAATAGGAACAAAATAATATTAAAGAATCCTTCTTAATGACTTTCGTTTTCGGCGAAAAGAACTTGATTACTTCCAAAAAATTGAACTTGACTCGCTTTGTCAAACGAATTTTCTCAAATGTTGACGTTAATTACTTTCCAGCAGTTTATCTGTTTTTCCTCAATTTTTATTGAAATTATATCATTTACAGTTGTACAGTCAGTTACATATTTGGCTTTGCATCTATTTTATTATGAAGAATTTTACAATCATGATGCTGTGTAAAAGAACATTTTTCATTAAATTTGTGTTTTTTAGTTTACACTTATATTGAGGCAAGTTCTATTTCAACGAATATGTCGTAAAATATTGGAAAATTTTTCCTGCGTAGTATACAATAAAACGAACTGCTCAAAATTTATATAGGTCTATTTCCAGTGTTTCGTTCCAATCCTACTAAAAAGTTGCAATTCATTCCTTCATAGGGCGAGAAAAGACTATTCAAACTACTTAGAATAAAGTATAATAGGAGGAGAGAGCGAAAAAACGGTATGTAGCATAAAAAGTGTGTATCTAAAGAAAACAAATATACGATTGCACAGTCGATCTTTTATTGAGAAGTTTCGCGGTTACTGCAGGAATATACAGTTTAATGTTAACTAGTCATCATTGCTTCATCCACTCTTATGTACATTTGATCTAGAGAAGTAGTTTAACAATAGATTTCAAAATTTCTGATTTCAAAAAAAGAAGCCTGCCTTGTTTCCTGCTTTTCGAATAAATGCCGCTGCGACTCCTGTACTAACTATATCTAATCTGTTAGTGGATGCTACTTTCTTCAGAGGACTTGTATAACTATATATATTTTTTCCTTTCTCTTTTATTCTTTGTATTTAAATATATAGCTAGGGAATTCATAGAGTGACTAATAAAAAGGATGATGGCTTATATTTAATGTACTAGCGAATATTTACTTCTTCATAGAACCTTTCAATTGCTACTAGTTCTTCATTGTATCTATTGAGAAATAGACAAAGCATATTCAACAATTGTCAACAAGATGATTGCACATAGTTTTCATATATCTAGTATGCTAATGAATATTCGTTTCTTCAGCAGACTTTTATCTATTGAACCATGCAGTTATGGACTACATAAAATGACTATAAATAAGATNAATTCATTATTGTACTTATATGAACAACGTTTACTCAATGAGTTTTTCTTTCATGTTTAAGAGATTTTTCATATTAGTCTGATGTGGGTGTGGGGTGTGGTGGGTGGGGTGTGGGCGTGGGGTGTGGGTGTAGGGAAGAACCGTAATTACACCCACACCCACCCACACCCACACCCCAATTTATCCTACTCAGAAAACTATTGCTGATGAATTTACATTGAACTGAGAACACCGAACTGCATTTATGATAATAACAGGTCATCTTGATGGTGAAAAACAATGTCATACGGATATTTTCATTCTACATACACAATCATAAATCAAAATATCATACTTATAGGTGACAATAATGGCCAGCTCATAATGTGCATACCTGGATGTGGTGGCACAGGCAAATCTCAACTGATTCGGGCTGTCACCAAATACTTTTCCATTACGAAAAGAATGCAGATGATGCGCAAGCTTGCACCTACTGGAATTGCTGCTGCTGAAATAGATGGCATGACAATGCATTCATTTTTAGGTGAGCATCGTAATTCAGGAAAGCCACGCACCATCAAACCAGGTGATTCAAAACTCGAAAAAGAATGGGGACTTGTTGAATATCTCTTAATTGATGAGATGAGTATGGTTGGCTTAACTTTACTTGCAAAACTCAATCGAATTATTTCCGCTGCCAAACATGTCGATCCTCAAATTCCATTCGGTGGTGTGAATGTTATTTTTTTCGGTGACTATTTACAATACCGACCTATATATGCTGTACCATTGTACACCGATTTTTCATTGCCGTCTAAAAAGAAGTCAGGTAAATTACCTACTGAAAAAGAAATTCAACAACGTGTTGCACGTTCCTTAATTCTTCAAATTAACTGTGTGGTGAAACTTACTCAATAGATGCGAACAGAAGATACACGATATCTTCAATTGCTCGAACGACTTCGTCAAGGACAATGTAATTTCGACGACTATGAATTATTACTCACACGCGTCGTTGGGCAACCATCCGTGAGTTCTCTTCGTGAATCACCCTGGAACAAAGTAAATTCTTTTTTCTTTTCAAAATAATTTTTCATCATTTTAATTTTTAGGCTCCGATTCTTGTGTTTCGGAATGAAGTGCGAACACAAATAAATCACAAAGCAGCAATTCAAAATGCAGCACAATTGAATTGTGCACCGATAGTATGCGCTGCTCAAGATACTTGCAAAGGCAAACCAATTGAAGATCCTATACTTATAAAAAAAACTATTAGAATTATCTGATAGCAAGACAGAGCATTTACCCGGTTTGTTACCACTTGTTCCTGGAATGCCTGTTATTTTAACACAAAATATTGCTATTGAACTGGGTCTTATTAACGGCATGAATGGAATCTTTCGACAATTAGTCTACCAGGCTGATTCTGTATCAACAAAGGCTCTGTCAAACATATTTCCGAACAACACACAGTACGTGCATCGGCCTTTATATGCATTAATTGAAATTATCAGATCGAAAATTGAGTGTAATCTTGAAAGTCTTCAACCAAAACTTGTCCCAATACCAATAATGGAACAAACATTTCGTGTCGACATTTCTGATATTCTTCCAAAAGACAAATAGCCAAAACCAAATTGGAAAGCAATGTTGTCAATTAAACGTCGTGCACTGCCACCTGTGTCTGCTTATTCTATTACGACACATAAGAGTCAAGGTCAAACTTTGAGTAAAGTCGTAATTGATCTGAAACTTCCAAATGACACCGATGACATTGCTGCAGTGTATGTACCCTTATCGCGCGTCAAACGTTTGACTCATTTGATTATTTTACGGCATTTCGATTACAAGATTCTGCTAATGAAGCCAAGTAAATCTCAAGTCGCCGAAATCGAAAGGCTCAATAAACTATACATTGATACTCAAACTCGATTTTCTGAGTGGTTCTAATAATTTCTTTTATTGTATAAAAATTAAACTTAGTTGTTATTCATTGTTTTGTATATTATTTTCTTTTATGAGGTCTTCACTCTACGTTCTTTATATTTAAACATTGTTTGTTTTATTAGTGTTTCTTTTATAGTAATATTGTGTTTCTTTTCTAGTTTATAGTGTGGAATGATACTTGCTAGTTATAGATATTTCTATGTTTTCATATCAAATTTTTTTGTTTTGGTTAAAAATCGAATATATCTGTAGTATGTTATTAGTTGTAAAAGTTTCAATAAAATATTATCAGCTATATTACAAAATCATAGTAGTTAATAAATCATTCTATAACACAGCATAACTACAATGTGGTATAGATTTATCTGCAGTGATATTCAGCAAAAGTGCGATTATAATTGGTCACAGTGACGACTTTAAATTTTTACATTATGATATAGCATTGTTCTGATCGAGCTATATTCAACGTAATCGAGCATAAATGTCAGTAGACGATAGGAATTAAAAATAGTCTTTCTCATATTGTTGTCATTATATGATACTAATATTGGTGTTATTATACGACTTTATAAGTTGACGCACTTCTGAACAGCCATCATTTAACTTTCACTTCAACACTGACTACTAAAAAATCTATCTCATTTCGTGATATTCATAAGAAAAAACTAAAACTTTAATTTCCACTACCAAGATACATATATAAACGACGATTTTTCAACACTAATTTTTAAAGTAGTCTGTTTATTTACTAATTTATCGATAATGATGGTGGTTTTATGCATAGAAACTACCATAACTTGAAGTTGACTACCCTATTATAGATATTTAAATAATATTCAAACAAAGACGCGTGCATAGTTTTGATATTATCAATAATTGTGTTCATGAGATAAACTACTATTTACATATATAAACATTCAGTCGAGGGTCAAGCGAGTCGTAGCGACGAGCGTTACTTGTTAAGTTTACCATCATCAGACCATTGTAAACACTAGAAGAAAATCAATATGATTAAATCATTTCACAATTTAAATTAACATCTAACAAATATTGAGATAACACTATTAGATTTTGGATTGGGAACGATCGAAAAATTGATTAGAATGTCTTTTCATCCTCGAAATGGTAGAAGTTATCAACAGTCTTTCTAACAGCAAGAATCTACACTGATGACAAACTATTATATCGATATCTACTAACAATGATTCACATTTTGTTTTTTCATTTTATGTAACCGTCAACAATTCTAAAATTTATAATTAATAGTGATCTGCTCAGGGATGTCCCGAGTGGGTCAGAGTCACCGACAATCTTCGGAAATTTTTTTTTTTGCCGGTTTCGAAATAAATGGGCGACCCTTCCCCGCAATTTATTCTACTTGATATATGTCGAGAGTATCCTTATGTCTGTAAGATTTGGGAGGCGAGGTCGACGATCACTTAGGAGTAAAGCTCGCCCATCGGCTCCGAGAATTTCTGGGACCAATCGACACAATATTTTCATACTCGAACTCGATGATCTCTATTGAGGAGGTCGACTGAAAGCCTTTCGCTAAAATTGACTGAACTTCGAGAAGGAAAGGTGAGTGATTCTTTTTTGAGAATTGATCAACAAAACAAACGAAAAAAACGTTGAAATTTTCTCAAGAATGAGGAAAGAGATAGCGATCATCCTAGATTATTCCATATGAAGAGTCTTCTTGTTAATTTAAATAAAAAAATTCACAACTTCAATACTTTGTGACACATTGTTTCGAAAAAAACCGAATGTCATCTTGCACTTTACTATTCAAAATTCAATCTAATTTGATTCTTTCCTTCAGATTTCTTAAACAAACCCTGGTGATGATCGGATGGCAGAAAAACAAAAAATAAGAAAATCCATTGTGATTTACCCTCTCCCCAACATAATCCGTTCATCGGAGGTTGCTTCATTTGTTGACAGTAAAAGGTACATGATGTTTTAAAAGCTTGTTTTCTCTCCACAGTTCCTATAAACTAGTGAAGAACTCTGCTCAGATGATTTCAACGTTAGGATAGATGCTTCTTCGGATTATCCGAGATCGTAAGAAAATAAATATTCCTCTCTATCAATCCTCTCTCAAAAATTAATCTGATTAGTCCAATGTTTTGATCAATGAAATATTTGGTAGGTATTTCCTTATCTGATTCTTCTCTTTCTAATGGTGAAAATGACAGTTCTCTACCCAGGCAGACAGCGAAACGAATAAAACGGTGTTTAAACATTCCAATATGTAAACTATTTAAACAGTGTCATATGTCGCCAAAAACACGTTAAAACGGTTTATGGAAAAATAACTTTTA